CTAAGGTTTTTTTTTAAGTTAAACTTCTCTATTCTAAGTTATATTTTGTTAAAATACCTCAAATGATATTTTTTTGATATTTTGTATAACTTATTAACCTAAGCTTGGTCGGTTAACCGTTATTAATGGATTTTAAAAGGTGCTTTTAAAAACCTTCCTTTTAAAATATTTAAAACCCTTACTTAGAGTCTTTAGGTTAAGACCATAAGACAGAGTTTTACTTAAGTTTTAATAGGTGTCCTAATTCACCTTAGAAATAATTAGGCGGCGACTCTCTTAAAATTAGTTAAACCTCAGAATCGCTAATATGTTATACTCTAATTGGACCCGATTTAAATGGGGTATAACATTATCTAAAGACCTCAAAGAGGCACCCCTCGATTTATAGGCCAAGGCCATCATTCTCGGGGACTAACACTTTGAACAAGTTCGAAGTGTTGATGGGAAAGTAAAACCAAGAGTCACACCCAAAGGCTACGGCCAAACTAACGCGGCTCGGAGATGTCCGAACCCCGCAATAAAAAACAGGCCTTCGAAATCTCCAAAAACGGGTTAAAAAAGGCTACCCTCGGCAAAATAATCAAAGGGATTCGATAAAATCAGCCCTCGAAAAACCCTAAGAGGTATCGAATTATTCAAATACAAACTTGTGCTAAGACACATAAAAACAAAGGGGTTTCAATCAACACTAAACCCTCAAAAAACCCAATGGGTAAAAAAAATATACATGCTAAGGCATAAGAAAATTTTACTAAGTCTTTGAGCCGAAAGAGGGAAAAAATAGCCATCCTTTAGAGGCCATATCAGCCCAATTCAAAGAGCCCAAGGGCCAACACACTTTGAGTTCGAGAACACATTCTCGCTCGATTCGAACCTAAGGGTCCCGCTATCCCGAATTCGAACAGGAACCTACTCGATTACAGATCGAGGATCCTGTGTCGTTCAAAACAAACCTAAGGGTCTTTTCGCTTTGAATTCAAGTTTCACTCGAATCCGACTATAAAAGCAGTATTATTATTTTGGCTTCGATCAAGTCATTTGAAACCAAAACCTCGAACATATTGTTGAAACATTAAAATGTGCTAAAATTGTACAAGGCACGAAACATGTTTGAAGATAAAATTTGAGAAGGCATCCAAAAGAGAAATTTCTTTATATATATGGGCAAATATATGTACAAGGCACCGACAAGGGTCTTACAGAAGAGAAAGGAAAAATAAAATCCTAACTATGCCCGAGGCTAATTTCTCCCTCGGGGGGAGCTTCTCCTTCGGGCCCCTCACTATTATCAGACCCGCCTTGGCTGCCTTCATCATCATTGTCATCATTGGAGGAGGCAAGCAACCTGGCATTAGCTTCAAGCACCTTAGCTTGAGCTATTGCTTTGGAAAGGTCAAAATCTCGAGCATGAATTTCCTTGAGGGCCCCATCCGAGATTGGCACTTGGCCAGATCATTACTCCACCGCGCTCGATCGGCGGCCTCCTTCAGGTGAGTTTGGGCAGCCTCGGCATCAACCAGGTACACGGTTATGGACTTGTTAGCTAAGACCTTCGCCTTTTCGACCTATGCCTTGGGCTCAGCAAGCTCGACCTCGAGCTCTTCGATCCTTTTGGCTTGGGCTGAGCTCTTCTCTTTAGTACTTCGAAGTTGAACTTCGGCTGACGACAGTCGCACCAAGGCAGCCTCTTTCTCCACAGCTAGGCGGTCCATGTTCTCTTTCCACCGATTGCAATCAGCTTTAACTTGATCGACTTCCCCCCGGAACAGCTCGATCCTTTTAATGTTTTGCTGCAACTGAGACATCGAAGTGTTAGCCTCCACTCTTGAGTCAAGCCCATATGTTCTTAAAATTACATTTACCTGCTCGTTCAGCTCGGCCTCTTCCTTACGAGTCCGGGCCAAGTCTACTCGAAGATCCCTGAGCTCTTCATCCTTTTGACCGCAAAGGAGCTTCAAAGCATTCCTCTCCTCCGAGGTTTTCTGGAGCTCGACCTTGCATTGGCTCAGGTCGTCCCGAGACTTGGTAAAAGCCTATATGAGAAGAAAGATAAAGTTAGGTTAAAGGGAGAAGAAGGAAAAGAAAATTGCAACAGTGGGGATTTGTACCACGACCTCGACCCCCCAGTTAGAGTCTCTCTTCAGTGCCTCGAGATGGTCCGTCGTTATCGAGCGCGTGTATCTCTACACGTGTTCACATCGGCCAGGCATCGATGGAGGGTTCTCTATTGAAGTTCGATTTTAGAACACAAGGGCCCGGAACATACTCGTGAGGGAGCGGTTCCACCGCCGTTTTGTCACCGACCAGCCGGGAAGAAGAGGAAGAAGCTTTCTCCTTTGTGGGACGGTCTTGGAGGTTTTCGCCATTGATTCGGGTAGAAGGAAGCGGAAAGGTAAATTTTGGTATTTTTGGTACTAACAAAGTTGACTCAATGGGTGGTGAAAGAGAAGAGATGCAGAGAGTAAGAAACTTAGAAAACTTGGTGGAGGTGAAAGTAAAATTTTGATTCAACCAAAGAGCCTATATTTATAGATTCATGGCTACGGTTCGGTGGTGCTAGTGGCCGACCGCCCACTAGAAAGCATTAATGGTTTGGGGAACTATACCGACCGGACATTCGGTCACCTCGATCACTTACGTCACGGGGATGACATCATTAGTAGGGTCTCCATAAAATCGAGGCTCAAGTCTTTTCTTATCGTTTTACTCTAAGAAACGAGGGAACTATCTGTATACGATAGAAATTGGGGCTACTTGATTTCATTCTTTGGCCGAGATAGGAATGTCACGTCAAAGAGATAGGACGTCGAGTCCGAACCGAGGTCAACATAGATTGCGGCCAGAAAGAGGCAGACTTCGAGTGGCGTCGGCATAGCTTGATAACGGAAAAGGCGAGATATCTACGATTGGTCGAGGATCGTAGCATGAATCTCGGAACGGATCAATGTACAACGGTTAATTAGATGTTAATATGGTTTCCTACTATAATTAGAAGTGTACCTTATTTAAGACTCCTCTATTATATAAAGAGGGTTCATTCATTTGTAGCATCATCATTGTTCATTAACAAGAATATATACACTCATTAATTTCCTGCTATTTCACTTATTGTTCATCAGAGTTGCTTTATCATTTACTGTTCTTACTACCCCACCTCGAGACTACCCCAAGTCGAGGTCGAGACCTGGCTAGCACACTGGTTTGATTTATTTTATTCTCTAATTTATTCACTTATTTTCTTGCTTATCAATTGGTATTGGGCGAAATCACATATCCTTAAAACCACAATATAAGTTTAATTGTTATCCGAATTTGAGGGTAAATAGTTTGCACTCAGTAGTAAGAGGTGTGAACGGCTGGCATTGATGGGTATGAGTAGAGGTAGAGGGAGGCCTAAGAAGTACTGGGGAGAGGTGATCAAGCAGGACATCGTGTGGCTTCAGATTTTCGAGGACATGACCCTTGATAGGAAGATGTGGAGGTCGAGCATTAAGGTCGTAGCTTAGGAGGTAGGAGGCTAGTTTAATAGTGTTGTGTCTTAGGCTGCTAGTAGCTCCTCTTGCGTCCATATTACTTCATTAGGGTTGCAGGTAAGGTTGTAGAACGCTAGTTTGATACTGTTTTGTCTTAGGATACTAGTGGCTCTTGTTGTGTCCTTATTACTTCCATTGTGTCTGTAGTATTGTGCCATTGTTACTGCTAATTGTTATTGCTTTTCTTTCTACTTTCTGGTTATCACGTTGTTGGTGTTATCTTTCTGACTTCCTTTGATGTTACTGCTCCACTGTCATCTACCATTATCTTGGGCCAAGGGTCTATTGGAAATAGCCTCTCTACTCCTTTGGAGTACGGGTAAGGTCTGCATACATACTACCCTCTCTAAACCCCACTTGTAGAATTACAATGAATCGTTATTGTTTGTTGTTACACCCAGTAGTAAACGGTCACTTTAATCCTAGATTTTGGACGCTGAAAGCAAATTATGCAATTGAATCCTTGTGAATGCCCTTGGGTTTGGATAACATATAGCTGATTTGTAACCTACATTCATTTGCATCTCATGTCAAAAGAGTGTTAGATTATACCCACATGTAAAATTGAGTTGTATTGATTTTCAAGGGCGGAGCTAGAGTATTTGATTACGGATTCGGCATAACTGAGATCATATATTGTATTGAAAATTCACTTAATATTTCATACATAATTTATTCTGAACCCAAAGTTATTATATCTAAGCATTTAAAACCCATGAACTTAAAATTTCTTTCTCCACCTGTACTTTAAGTCTAAAGTGGTTTGAGACTTTGAGGGGCTGAGCCTGAAACTTGGTGTACTTCTGCAAAACAAGCATGGAGCGAGGGAGGAGTAATTTCAATGACACTGTATTTGATACCATGGCTAGTGAGACAGTTTCTTCCGGTGAAAAATATTTTCCAGAAGAAACCTCTTTATCCAACACTCAAAAATTTAGAAACTATTTCAAATGAATTGATGGAGAAAAAAATAAATGAAGAAGGCATTTTTTCCTTTTAGTGAAAAATGTTTTTTGGTGTTTAATCGTTTGCATGAATCATGATTAATATCTCTTATGTAATGTCACGTCGATGGAATTATAGTAGGAAAGGAATATAAGAGCGAATCATGAGCCAGAAGTTTATAAATGTAAACTTCGCGGCATTAGATCTAGGTTTTTATACAATTAAAATTATCGAATCAAAGTCAATATTAATACTCAATAGCAGATCTAGTGCCTTAATGGCGAATATTTAATGTGAGCTATTAGTTAAGAATATCCTAGAATAAGGATGGAGAAATAATGGTTTGAAAACGTGGAAGGTAGCAATAAACGATAATAAATAACTTTTAAATAACAAATGGGACAAAGTTTACCCGACAAGGGTGAGATTTTCCACTGAGCTTTCTGACAATAATGGATGATGATAAGCAATTGAATATTCTGATTCTTCTTAGATTGGGAGAGAAAGATAAAGGAGAAGAAGTGTAAAATTAGGCTTTGTATGTATTCAATAAAGGGGAATCTTTACAGAAAATGTCAACGATGTTCTTTACAAAAATATTCCATCCCCATCTTGAACTACATCTCTTCCTATCTAGAACTACATCTCTTCCTATTTATAAGAATACATGGGCTACAAAACCCTAAATAATACAACATAGAGAAATATTCACTAGATTATTATCTAGGGAATCTAAATCCTTAAACTAGCCGCTACTGTGTGTCGAGGATGGGTGCTCGTCCTCGTCCTCGTCTTCTATTAAGCTACCCGACCTCGACGATATGACCTTGACCTTTTGGGATTAGATTAATACGTCACAATATCGATGCATCACAGCAATGCGTGACGTCAAGTTTTTCGCCTATACAAGAGTCATCATTCATGTACTATTCTTCTATATTGAAAAAAAAGGATTAAAAATCTCAATTTTCTAAGGAAATCTAATTACGAAATGACTCAAATGTACATTATCGAGTATTATCCTGCTTGGTTGTGACAATTCAGCTTTTGAGTCGAAAAATTTAAGAATGATATTTGGATGAAACTTATTTCATAAAAGCATTTATAAGTAAACTAGAAAATGATGCCCGTGCTAATGCACGTGCGCGACATAGCAAGGTTGTTAAATTAGCCACAAAATGGTAGGGAATCAACTTATTCGAAATTATGAGTTTATTTTTGTGAAACGGATGAGTTGGTCATTTAAAAAAAAGTCAATATCAACCATCCCAAAAGCATCTCTAAATGAAGTGCACCGTGGTTCATAGCTACGTGCTCTAATCCTCTGAGCTACAGGCCGCACCCTACCTCCACTGGATTTGTTCCTGGGAGTACCCCTAAAAAAAGGAACCTTTCGATCTCCCCAGCCATTTCGGGTTAAGTTCCGAAGTAACAAAATGGCAGAACATAAGTAGCTTAGCAACAATCACTGATCAAAATCCAATAAATACTTAAAATAAATAAATATATAGTTGAACAATGGAAGGATAACCAAGCACAAAGGAAAATCTGGAACTATTGTAGTCTCCGTCATTTTCGAAATCAAAAATTAATTTTCCAAAGAGCACACTCATGTGGGGTGTCATGTCAAATTCAAATCGACAATAAGGCATGCTAATGTGGCCACCAAGACAGGCACATAATTTGTATATGACTTACTGTTCACTTTACCATTTAGTACCTGCAATTGGTAGTAAACTTACAGCAAAATATAATCCCCTAAAGTTACTTTTTACAGTTTAAACCTGTAAAAAATTGATTTATGCTAAGACGACACAATAACCTAAATATGCTGACAGTTTCTATCATATCTAATTAGTTCAAAATGTTGTTATGCATTCCTCCTAATTGTAAATCACTCTCAACCATAATTCTTCTTTTTTAAAGTCACACACAGTATGATTTTGTTTACATTTGAAAGAGTTGATGCAACTATAAGCTTTTCCAAAGGATAATACATGTAAAAAGTTTATTTATTCAGTGGTGAAAAACTATAGCATAGTGAGAATGAATGTATTGTTCCACTTTAGTTCCTAAATTGTTATACTATCGATTCTGAAGAAACAATTACAATCTGTCAGGGGCAGCAAGGAACATTTCTCCCAAAATAAATAGAGCAAAAGAAGAAGAGTCAACTAAGTATGTGAAATGTAAGAGAATATTCTTTGCAATTCTAAATTAGCAAATTGTGAATCCTTCATTTTATTTATAATTCTATATGTTGCTACAGAAACACAGATAAATCTTTTTTTGGGATAAATTTGAGAAACTAGTAAACTCAACTTGTCAAGGTAGGAGGCGGGCATATGTTTTAGCTGCTTAGCGGAAAAGCAGACTCACAAAGCAAGACTTCTTTGGTATATTTCTTTCGGCTTTATTTGTTGAATTGTTCTGCTTTTATCCTTATTTTTCTTCTTCTTTTGTTTTCTTCCCTCTTCCAACTTCTCAATTTCGCTTAGCTCTCACCCTCTGCTTTAAAGACCAAGAGTCAAGAATATCATTAATTCGTGTTAAGAAAATTAAGAATATCATTGATTAGCCATTAAAACCAGTGACAAATTTTACCCCAAAAAACCCCGTAATTTCGATCCTAGACCAAATCTAAAATACCTCAATGCAAATAACAAATAAACAAACTTTAAGTTGTTATATTACATGAGTAAGGCCAGTATTAGAGTGTGGGTAGTAATGAAATCCTTAAAAACTCACTCGTAGAGCTACAGAACTCAAAGAACGCGACACATTTCATACCACATAAAAGGAAAATAGATCTAAACTAATAAAAAAACTATAGTAGCGACTTACAGAACCAACCAAAATAAAACAAAAAAAAACCCCAACAAAGCCAGAAGGGATAAAGAAAGCTAATGGAAGAAGAAGGTGAAGCGGGAAAGGGAATGCAACTAAAAGAAACATGTGCATGCTTCATTGCAATGAAATATCGCTTTCCAATATTAATGAAGAGAATACACATGAACTTTGAGAAAATATATTATGCCAAATGCAAAGGCATAAACCTAACATCACTCTCCAATTTGCAGTATCCTGGATTATGGTCATTTCGTTCCAAGTACTCTATAATTTGGTTGAATCAATATCTATAATTTGGTATAATTTTTAAAAGCTATAATTTATATATCTAAATTTTCTTATCAACGCCAATTTTGACAAATAGTAGCAATAGTGCAATAAAAATACACGTGCAAGCAAATTGAATACATCAACAATATAGGTCACACATACACATACCAATACCGTTCAACAAATAGATGGTTTACATTTTGGATTGCTCATGAGAGGTGAATATGTTGTAGGACCTGTAAAAGAAGAAAAAGAGTAAAAGAAAACCATTCCAAACACATTGGATGTATCAGTGTTCATAATGATGTAATAGTGTTACTCATTAATATGAATAATGGCCAAAGTACTCGCAACCAAGAGATAGAAAAGCAGAAGAAAATAATTTACTTTCCAAAACTACCTACTTAAGTATAAAAAAAACTAAGAAAAGCACATGATATAAAGCATACTTCACTTAAAATGAACTATCATACTCAAAAAAAACTCACCCCCACAACCAGATTTGAACACTCAGTTAAATGAACATTGGTTAACTGATCATCAAAGAGAAAAAGAACAGAACATCACTGAAATTTCAATTATATAATCTGTTTTGGGAATATCAAAACTGAAGAGGAAAAAACTTATTAGAGTTGATTACCCAGAAGTACCAAATTTTCATTCATCAAATATCCAAAATCACGCACCTAGGTATCTATTTTCAAACATGCATGTGCAAATTAGAAATAATTACTAATATGCGTATAGAAAAAATCCAACAAAAAACTATCCAAATATATGAAAAAAAGCAAATAGGTACCACCAAAGTTCCATTACACGAAAATTGGGTATATTGAAGAAGGAAGCATGGAGAAAACTTACAAGATATGAGAAACATAACCAAATGAAAAACCTTTAAAAGGATGCAGACATCGAAGAAGAGCTAACGAAGATGCGATCCATAACCGCAGGCTAATTTGGAACAAAGAGGATTCAGGAACTTTTGCAGAGAAAAATTTAGTAACAGAGAAGATGAAAGTAACAGAAAGAGAGGGGGAGGAAGAGAAGTACTGATAGAAGAAGAAGGTGATGGAATTGGGATTCCTTAATGAATAAAAATACGTTCAATAAGTGGAAAAGAAAAGGCAGTACACGTGCTTATAGAAAAAAGAGTACACGTATAGATATGAAGATCCAATTACAAGATCTACAATTGTGAACATACAACTTTTCGTGCTTTTTGTACAATCAATTAGAGCAGTGTTCGTCCACCCTTGCTCATTTATATATAGTAGAAATAGAAATTCCCAATAATAGGACGAATATATTCTTTTAGAAAAGTTTGATTACAATATAATTGCTTCTTAGGGAATTTTCCCTCCCCCC